GATCCCATCCTTCCCATGTCCATAATCCATAAACAGATGATCCTTCTTTCTTACCTTCCTGAGATAAATAAAACTATTTGAAAATAATTTCTCAAAATTTCCATGCCTAATAACATCTACATTTTAAAATCTGGGTTATTATACTGATCTATAGCTCAAGATTTTTGTCATATGAGAATAGTAAAAGGATGAGAGAATAAAGAAGCTGAGAATGTGATAGGGAAAGTAAATAAAATGAAGAGGGTAAGGAGAAAAAGGTTGTAACTTAGGAATTTTTGTGTAAAAACTAATGTAGATATGGATCCCTGGGACCTAGCTGAATAAATAGGTCACCAATAGTATATCTTAGAAGAGTATATCTTGTCCCTAGTCTTTCTCCCTGCTTCTGGATGCTATGAGGTAATGAGCTTTGCACAACAATGCTCACTCACATGATGCTCTGCCTCAGCACAAGCCCACAATAATGGAGCTAAGCAAACATGAACTGAAACCACTAAAACCATGAGTCAAAATAAATCCTTCCCCTTATGTCACTTAATTTCAGGTATGAGGCCACAGCAATGAAACGCTGTCTAATACAACATTTAAAGCACTTATTATAGTGCCTGGTACAAAAGAAATATCCGAAAATGTGAGTTAATATCACTAACATTCTTCCTTGTATGTTTGCTTGTGTGTATATGTATAGTGTATGTGTGTGTGAGGGTGCATGTGTGTATGTGTGTGTGTGCATGTGTGTGGTGTGTCAGAGTGCGTGTGCCTGTGGGAGGATGTGGATGTATGTATATGCAAGTGCATGTGGAGGTAGAGGACGTTAGGTGTCATTTCTCACACTCTGCTCACCTTTTTTAAAGGACAGGTCTCTCGCTAGTCTAGAACTTGCCAAGCAGACTGTATGGACTGGCCAGTAAACCCTAGGGCTCTACCTGTCTCTACCTTCATAATGCTGGAATTATAAGCACACACCCCTACCATTTTTTTTAAAGTGGGTTCTGATAATCAAACTCGGTTTCTTCTTTTAAATACTTAATCGATCAAATTATCATTCCAACCTCCATTATTCCTTTTGTTAACAGCCCTTAAAAGGAAATTATCCAGGGGCTAACAGCCAGAAACATAAATCACCTTTTTTAACTGATCAAAGAGTTGACTTCCAGATACCCACACTCCCAAGTGCCAGAACTACAGAATAATGCTTCTTTAAATGTTATACATTTTATTGAATGTGAATACATTCAACACATCTTTAGTAAACAAACCCTTGTCTGTTTGCTTTATTTCTGCCACCACAGGTTCAGCATATGTTTCACTCCTATGCATATACATGCATCTGCATCCTCCCACAGACTCCTGCCTGTTCACCCTAAGTTTTCATAGTCAGTAATTCAATCATTTATACAAAAGGCATTTATTGTATGATTACTTTGTTCCAGTTGTTAGGTGGTACTGAAAACACAATGGTAAAAAAAAAAAAAAAAAAAAAAAAATACCCTCAAGAAGCTTACAGTAGGCTTCTTGAAAAAAATTAACAAAAAAATCATTTTATACTCCCACAAAACCAGAAAATTCTATTGGATCTACATTCAGAATATATCCAGATTCTCAGCACCTCTACTGTTATCACTCTGATCCAAGCTACCATCACACTATACATACAGCTCACTGCAATAGTTCCTACACCCTTAATCCACTGTTTATTTTCAACAAAGTAACTAAATATAGTGTATCCTATGACAAGTGTATATCCAATCTTGTCATTCTCCACTCAAAATCCCCCAATGGTTTCTTTATCACACTGAGAGCTAACCACTAAATATGTATAATACTCTATAAGCCTAGTGGGCCTGATTATCTCACTGAGCCAATCTGCCCTCACTCACTGTACTAGAGCTACCCTGGCCTCCTGGCTGCTTTTTACCACGCCAGACATGCTCTTAGCTCAAAGCATCACCTACCCTAGAAATTTACTTGGCCTTTTCCTCACCTTCAGTTCTAAGGCATGTCCTATCCCCAATGAGAGGTGTCTTCACTGATAACTTCATAAAATTACAGCTACCAAAAATACTTTCTATGCCTTCTTGCCTTCTTTCCTGCTCTATTTTTTTCAATAATACTAATGAGCTCTCCTGGCACATTTATAGAATTTGTTTTTTATTGCCTACATAGCATGCACCAGGTCAGCTAGAGGGAAAGAGCGAAACCCTATCTCAAAACAAAACACAATAAGGAAAAAGAAAATTATAAAGCAATATAATGAACATAACAGCCTCAAAAACATTAACAAATGTAATCCAACAAAATATTAAAATAGTGTAATAGCACACCAATTACCAAGCGAGTTTATCCTAAGAATAAAAAGGTACACCAACATTTTTTAAATATCTGTACTTCATCACAGAATAAAGGAGAAAAATCAATCATCATCTCAATATATGTGGAAAAAGCATTCAGTGATATGCAAAATCCATTCAAAGGGGAAGGGAGAGGGGATAGGAGGAAATAGGAAGAGAGAGCAGAAAGGAAGAAGGGGAGGGGAGGGGAGGGCAGGGGAGGAAAAGCTCTCAGAAAACTAGTAAGAGAAAATATACTTGGGCTGACAAAAGGAAAACCTACGGCTACCATCACTCTCAACAGTAAAAGCCTTAGACGTTCTGTTAATCTTCCAAATCCAGGAAGAAAGTAAGGTGCCTGCTCTTCACAATTGTACTTGATATCACAATAATATGTCTGCTACCTTGGCATGTGGTAAAACTAGAAGAGAATAAAATACCTAACTTTCACATTAGGGCAAGGACCCAGGACTAATCCCAGCAATGTAGTCCACTACTTGAAGGCTAGTTACAAAAAGGGCCAAGGAGGAGCTGATGGTGTAGGTTAGTGTCAGAGTGCTTGTTTAGCAGGTGAGAGGTCTTGGATTCAATACCCAGCACTAAAGGGGGGGGTGGCAGCAAAAAGGAAACAAATGAACAACTACAGGTGGAAAGAAAAACAAAGAAGGGTAGTATCACAGAAGAAAGTGGGGAATGAGAAAGAGAGGTTCAAAGAAAGTCAAAAGGAGATGAAGAGAGCAAGTTAGAGACCAGCCTGGACTATATGATGTCTCAAAAGGAGAGACAGAGATAGAAGAGAAAAGAGAAGAGGGGAGAGACAAAGACAAGAGACAGACAGAGACATAGAAAGGACAGTAAAATATGAATCCAAAGATATCATGACCCAAATAATTCAAATGAGTTTTCCCAGTTAAAAGAAAAATTACATGTTGTTCATAAAATTAGATGCTAGGCATTATGGTACATGCCAAGTTAGAAAGGAGGATCACCAGTTTGAGGCCAACCTGAGCTACACAGGGAGACCTTGCCCCTCTTTCCCCCCAAATACATCCAAAACAAAAGAAAAAAAATTGAAATGAAATGTGAGAAACAACAAAACATGCAAATGCCAATCAAAAGAAAGCTAGTGTTATTCCATCCCTGTTAGATACAATGACAATATGTTCTACACACCAAAAATATAAAAGATCTAAAAAGAAGGGCCCTGAAACCACTGACTATCAATAATGTATTAGAGGATTTTGGCTCTGAAGCAAAGTGATAATGCAATACCTGGAAGGAGCATTTTAGGGCAAAAGGTTTTACTTTGTTTTTTCCTTTTCTCTCCCACTCTTACACCCTTCATATGGAGCATATTTGCATAGTGATGGGAATAATTCATGACAGAGGAAAAAACTAAACTGGCAGACTAGAATGAGCCAGAATGAGTTACAGATAACCAGAGAAAAGATTCAAATCTGACAAAGGGATATGACTTCTGTGCACGAATGAATGTAGGAAGAGAGAGAAGGAAAACCTACTTTGGGTGATAAAACTGAGGACATTCATACGACAGTTCCTATTTTCTCAGTGTTACAGAACCCCAAGGTTAGTAGGGCAGGAGACAAGGTGAGGATAAAAACAGTGCAAAGAATCTCAGAAAGTAGGAAAATGACCCAACCAACTAAGAAAACAGCAGTGCCATCTGGCACTGCTCAGTATCAATGCTCACTGGAACTGCTGCTGTTGCTGCTCACAGTTGGAGTTTTCTCCTTTTTTTCTTGACTAAGGTGAACAATTACTACTAGATTCTTTTCCTGGTTCACAAATGAACATTTTGATCTAATCGTATCATGAGCACAGTTTGGAACATTTGTCCTAAAATCATTTCCTGTGTGGAGATGTGTTCAGAAGGTACATCAATTGTCCAGTAGGGGTGAGACTCTGGGTTCTATCTCCAATACTGTAAAAAATTTTTAAAATATCTTTAATTTTGTTCTTAATAAAATTTAACTGGCATTTCAGCATAAAGAAGACTGTGTAGGGGACATAACCGGGCCCAAAAGGGGCAACTGATGAAACTGTGAGAACGAAAGTACAGAAGAGTAATTGTGTTGTCTCTGGGTAGGATATTACAGCGATGTTTATGTTCTTCTCTCCTTACCTCCTTTTTCTATAAGAAACACATATCACATGCTTCTTAAAAATAAAAATAGTACTACACCCTAAAAGGCTATTTTTTCATTGAAATTTTTGTTTATTTACATTTCCCACTAGTTTTAAATAAGCTATCAAAGATAAAATAAAACTCCTAAGTCATAAACAAAGTACTACATAAGCTTTAGATAACTAATATTTCATTAACATAGTAGTTCATGACACTACACATATATAAGTAGATATATGAATTAACTGTAAGTTCTGCACAAACAAAATATTCCTCATTGAGATGACAACATAAGACACAAATTAAGTATATTATTTTTCAATCTTAATATACAGTTTCTCAATCTTACATCTAAAAATTGATGTATCTGTATAAATATGACCTAAAAATATGATTTTCTAATATGTAACTATGACTTATGAGAACTTCCCCTACCGATATAATTTAAGTCTCAATCACTTCCATAAATATTTCTTAACATTCCCTTAAATAGTGAGTTTTATTCTTAAATCATTATTTTATACCTCTGAAGAGCTTTCATTATTAACATCCACTGTGTTTATAGGTGTTGCTGATGAATCTAAATCAGAACCTTGAGAGCCAACTCTCCCAGGAGTCTGAAACACAGAAAGCAGAAAAAAAAAATAAATGCAAATATTAATATATTCATATACCATTTAATGTTATAAACAATGTCACATAAGGAAAGGTGCTGTCTTCACAATAACAGCAAGCAGTACAGTCTTCTTTATGAAGACCGATCTTGATACTATGTGTATCATTTTCAGTTTTTATTCCTTTTTTTGGTATTTTTGACACAGGGTCTCCCTGTAGCCTCAGGTAGCCTGGAATTCGCTATGTAGACCAGGATAGTCTCGAACTCAGAGATCCATCTGCATCTGCCTCCCAAGTCCTAAGATTAAAGGCATGCACCACCACATTCGGCTTTTTATTCCGCTTAAATGAAGTTTTTAAAAAAATATTTATTATTTTTATTTTATGTGTATGCGTGTATTGCCTATGTAGGTAAGTGCACCTGTGTCATGCAATGCTCGCAGAAGACTGAAGAGGCTGTCAGATCCCCTGGAACTGGAGTTATAGACAGTTGTTAGCTGCCATGTGGGTGCTGAGATTCGAACCTGGGTCTTCTGCAAGAACAGTTAGTGTTCTTAACCTCTGAGCCATCTCTCCAGCCCCAAAGATTTTTAATATAATACTTTATAGTCTAATTCACATTCCTAAAACATCTTACTTCATCACAACACTATCTCTGAAATAGGTAAGGGATTTATCTCTATAGAGAAAACATCTAAAACAGCTAAGTGGCTTGCTTATGACATACTATTAACAACAACAACCAAAAAACCAGAAGCAGAATTAAAACACTGATCTTCTAAGTCCTCTTGCATTGCTCTCTTGACTACATGAACTCAAACTACAATGAACTGAGAAGAGAGAGAAAAAAGAAAACAAAAAACAAAAACACAGGCCCAATTATTTAGCCACCCATTCTATTCATCTAACCATTTCCAGTCTGTCTCTAACCTGCTATGGCACTATCAAACATGAGTTTGGGAGAGTTAAATGTTTTTGCCCCAGCATCAATTTATCCTCTAACATTATTATTCACCAATACCTACATGTCATATTATGTGAATTTGAAATTCAGTAAAACACTGGATAAAAAGAGATTCAAAGCACAAGAGCTAGTTCAATACCTTTACTAAAAAATATGTATGATACATATTAGCATAATTTCCACTTTACTCAAGAGAAGGCACAGAAACTAAGTAACCTGCCAAAGTCACATAACAAATAAATGGAAGAAAGGGTTTTAATTCAAGCCAAGTGGTTCTGAAGCATTCATCAATACTCCTTTGTGTTAGCACTTTTTGAGCAGCAAAACAATACAACAAGAATAAAACTCAGCAGGTAAGGTGTTACATTCTTATAGTCCCAACACTGGGGAGGCTAAGGCAGGAGGATAATGAATTTGAGGCCTGCTTAAGCTATGTAATAAAATCCTGTCTTTAAAATGAGAAAGAAGGGGCTGGAGAGATGTCTCAACAGTTAAGAACACTCACTATTCTTCCAGGGGATCCAGTTTTGATTCCTAGCACCCATATGGCAGCTAACAACCATTCATAACTCCAGTTCCAGGGGCTCTGACACCCTTTTCTGGGGTCTGCAGGCACTGCACAGATGTGGTGTACTTACCTACATGCAGGCAAAACACACATATACATAAAATAAAAGTAACAAAATCAAATAAGAAAGAAAAGTGTGGGACTGGTGAGATGGCTCAGAGGTTAAGAGCACTGGCTACTCTTGCAAAGGACCCAGGTTTGGTTCCCAGCATGTACATGGCAGTTAACAGCCAGTTCCAGGGGATCCAAAGCCCAGACATCTTCCGACCCCCATGGGCACTGCAAAACACTGGTACACCTACCTACATGTAGACAATACACTCATATACATAAAATAAAAATAATATTTTTAAAGTATAAATTCTACAACAAACTGTTCCATGCACAAAATTATTTAAAATATTGTATAAAATTATCTTAAGTTTAAATGTGCAATGTGTATATGAAATGTAAATTAATTTCATGATTAGTTTCATCCTCTTCCCCAAGATATTTCATTTACATACATGCAAATATGAAATCTAAAACACTTTCAATCCCAAGCATTTCTAGTAAAAGACATCTCAGAAAGAATTTAAGTTTCTATGCAGCTAACTAAAGAATGACAAGGAACAGGACAAAAGGATGCAGCCACCATTTGTTATAGGCAGAGGGGATAGTAGTATGTCATTCAAGAACAGTAGCTACTATATCCTGAGGCTTACCCAACCAATTGAGTAAAAAGTGGTAGAATTTTGAAAAACTTCAGAAGATGAAAAACACAAAATTAATCTCTGGTCAAAGGTAAAAGAAAAAAAGAGAGGAGCTAAACATAAGAGTGTCCATTTAGTTAACAGTATCAGGGCACACTATCCCAAAATGATGACACTGTATGGCGCCCAGCCTCAGAGAAGTCAGAGAAGCAGGGAAAGTTAAACCCACTGAAAATACATAAATGAAATAAATACACATGAAGGAGGCAGGAGTTGATTCCATGATAGGGTAAAGTTACTGTGCTTTTATGTCCTCTTTAGGCTTGAAGATCTCAGCAGAAAGGCAGATATTTCTTTGATAGAACTCAACTAGTAAAAACAATGACAGAGAAAACCATAAAATTAAACACATCCACATTTACTTCCTTTTGCTACAGTTTTTGGCAAAGTTATATTTTTTGTCCAGACATTCAGCAGGCCAGGTCTCAGAACCTAAGTATCATTTTCTGACCTCAGTTTGGTGGGTGTTCTTTCTACTGGGAGACTATTCCTGAGAAAGTCTGGTAGATATACTTGACCAAAGTGAAGTGGTGCTGATGGTGTCACTTTGGAGAAGAGGGCCTAAAACTATGAAAGCCCACAGGGCTGAATCTAATATTCCTGATGCATCACACTGATACTTCATCATGACTGACTCTGTAATCTGTTCTTAGGGAAAAGACAGACTCATCTTCTTGAGGACTGAGTAGGGTCGTGTTTTAAGTTGACAGTCTCCACTCTGCAGAGATAGTAAAGGTGTTGTTCTCGAGAAACTAGGGAGGAGGGCAGTGGACCTGCAACTTGCTCCCTCTCCTTGCTCTTTTTTCTCATTCTTTTCACCCTCATGACCTTCCTGAGAGGCCTATGCTTTTAGGAGAATCAGTCTAGCTTTCTCGTCCTGACTGAGACATCACAGGCTCTTGTGAAACCTCAGCCACATGACTCTCAGGTGACTCTTACAATGGCTCTAATGAAGATTGCAAGCTTCTCTTCAGAGGCTCATTCTTTCATTGATGAAATTTACCCTCTGTCTTGACTATTTGGTGACAGGTTCAAGTCTTCAGTGAAATGTTTGGGGAATGGAGATAGAGATCCCTAGTCTTTGTCGCTGAGGCTTTTTCTTTGTGTGTTTTGAATTTTTTTTAGTTTTATTAGGAAAAGAATGGGGTAAGAATAATTTCTATTAGAAATTTAAAGTGATAAAGAAATAAAATCCTTCAAATTTTATTCTTAAAAAAAAACCTTTGTATAAATTTAAGCATCTTTTACAATAACTAAAAAGTATATAGCACACTCATTTTGTTTAAAGTTTTCTTCAATGGATACAATAAATATACATACACCTCCCATACTGAACCAAAACTCTGTAAGCCCTTGATTGCCAAATGGGAGCATTTGGAGATAGTATAAAAGAAATAAGATGTATGCTTTTATAAGGAGCATACTTTCAAGTAGACTACAAATTGATGGGGGAAAACAAACTAATATACACAAAAAGAGGTAAAAAGCAACTAAGAAAAATGGAATACTAATTAAAGGAAGCTCAAGTACAATTATAATTCTAAGAAAGAAGAGATCAATTGTAGCTTTAGCAATTGAAAAGAAAAATATTCCTTAAAAGTTAAATTAATTAGTCAAATGGCAATCATTTCAACTACATGGGGAGAAAGGCACAAAGGCAGATAGAAAAAAGAATGATGTATTTGAGAAATAAATGAATAAATGTGTCTGACAGAAAGTTATCAGACAGAGAAATGTACAGAGATGCATACACATAACATACCAACACATTAACTGATAATATGGGATGGGGTGAAGGGGTTAAAACAGGCACAGGTAGTACAGGAAAGAAAGCTTGTCCAGAACTCTGATGCAAATAGTACTTAAGAGTTCACGCAGAAATGAGTTGACTCTGTTCCAAACACAGATCAGTAATATTAGGAATTTTTATATATTTTAAAAGGCAAAACTTTCAAAAACAAGAATCCACCTGATCAAAAATAAAACAAGAGCACAGAGTACAAAGGCTTCATGAATCGTAAACAGTTAGCAGCAATCATATTCAATATGAGGAACCAAAAATGTTACACATGTGGTACATAGAAAAAAGTCAGACCCACAGGAATCTCAGCCAAGTGAAAAGGCTACTGCCCTTCATCATGAACAGAAACTTTTTAAAAACACTGTAAATCCCACCGAGCATTGCACTTGGGCTCAAAGTTTGATCAAGATTTTTCAGGACCTGGAGAAAGAGCATTCCAAACAGCACCTTATTTACAAAAGTGAAAACCTTGAAGCCCTATGTTCAAAACAAAGGTTAAAATTAAAAAACAAGTACAATATTTTATAGAAGAATAAAAATGAATGTGATACAATTCTAAATTTATAAAAGGGGTAAAACACAAAGTTTATACATATTATAACTTTATGCAAAAATACAAACAAAAAAATTAAAAAGTAATCATATAACATGATGAGCTTCATGGTAGGGTAATTATAGTTATTTTTCTGTCCCCTGTGTTACTGAAAGGATGAAGTTAAAGGTTAATATGTTTTTATTAACCGTGTTAGTTACTTTTTTCTGTTGCTATGATAAAACATCATGAGAAGGCAGCTTATAAAAGGAAGCATTTACTTTGGCTTAATGGTTTCAGAAGGATATAAGGTCCATCATGATGGGGATGCATGGTAGCAGCAGCAAGCATAGTGGCAGGAGCCAATAGGAGCTAAGAGCTCACT